ACTTTTATTCATTTACAATAAATTCATAAAGTACATCATTCTTGATTGTAGCTAAGGGCATACAAAACTGTCTAACACTCCACTTGTGGGAGTGGTCAAGAATTGTTCTTGATATTGCTTCTTGGTAGAAGAAACAATCTGAAGTCGTGCTCAACAGCCCTCTACTCCATTCTTGTTGAAGAATTCAGTTCTTGCTGAAGAGCCGTCCTGCTGGTCCTGCTTCACTACACACTATGTCATCTTTAGTGGAGGCAGGTTTTGGTTTTCTTCTTGGGTGTGAACACCTTCATTAGGAGTTACTGCTACTTTTTATCAGGTATATCCCTCTCCTCCCTTTTGGTTTCAGATCTAGTCTGGTTTTGTTTCAAGATTGATCCTTGAAAATGCAGTTTTCTAAAATAGGGAATGCGATTCCCAGATGGGAGAAATTTTTGAAATTTCACCCAACCTTCCTGCACGGTTCGGCCATCCATGTGATGGATCTCTCATCCCTTCAAGAAGAACTCTCTGCCTTAGCTCATAATTATACGTGGGATCTCACCACGCTCCCTCCTGGTAAGCAGGCTGTCGGTTGTAAGTGGGTATACACTATTAAGTATTTAATTAATGGTAGTGTAGAGCGGTTGAAAGCTAGATTGGTTGCTAAAGGGTATTCCCAAACATATGGTGTTGATTACACGGAGACCTCTCCTGTTGCTAAAATTGGTTCAGTCTGTGTTGTGATATCTCTAGCTGCTATGTATGACTTGCCTTAATTTCAGCTTGACATCAAGAATGCCTTTTTACATGGTGATCTCCTTGGGAAGGTCTATATGGAGCAACCACTGGGTTTGTTGCTTAGGGGGAGGATGGTAAGGTGTGCAGACTAAAGAATGCCATTTATGGACTTAAACAATCTCCCCATGCGTGGTTTGGTAGATTTAGTGAAGTGATAAAGATGTTTGACATGAAACAGTGTCAAGTTGATCACTTAGTATTCAGTCATGATTTGCATGCTGGGAAGATCTTACTGGTGGCTTATGTAGATGATATTGTCATTACTAGCAGTGATAGATTGGGGATTGATAGGTTGAAGACCTTTCTACAGGAGTACTTTCAAACAATGAACCTTGGTAAATTAAAATACTTCTTGGGGATAGAAGTAGAAGGTCTAAGCATGGTATTAATTTGTGCTAGAGGAAGTATGCTCTTGATTTGTTGGAAGAAGCAAGATTGTTAGGTGCCAAACTAGCTGAAACACCTATGGAACCAAATACCAAGTTGAGCAGTGATATGGGTGAGGAGTTTGAAGATCTTAGAAGGTACAGGCGGTTGGTGGGTAAGCTAAACTACCTAAGCATTACTCGGCCAGACATTTCATTTGCAGTTAGTGTGGTGAGTCGGTTTATGTAGAAACCTCGGGTTCCGCATTGGGATGCAGTTCTAAGGATTGTAAGGTATTTGATGGGAGCTCCTGGTCGTGGCTTGATATATAAGAGTGGAGGAAATCTTGAAATAGAGGGATACGTTGATGCTGATTGGGCTGGTTCTGTATCTGACAGAAGATCCACTACAGGTTATTGTACTTTCCTTGGGGGTAATCTGGTGACATGGAAAAGTAAGAAACAAACAGTTGTGGCAAGAAGCAGTGCATAAGTTGAATATAGAGCCATGACACATACCACTTGTGAGTTAGTGTGGCTGAGAAATTTTCTATAGGAGATGGGATATTCAATTGACACTCCAATGAAGCTTTATTGTGACAACCAAGCTACAATGCACATCTCTTCTAATCCAGTGTTTCATGAGAGAACAAAGCATATAAAAGTTGACTGTCACTTTGTGAGAGAGAAGGTGCTTAGTGGAGTGATAGATACTACATATGTTAACACAGAGAGTCAATGGGAGACTTGTTCACCAAAGGGTTGAGTCAGGGAAGAGTGGACTACATATGTAACAAGCTGGGACTATATGATATATGCTCACCAGCTTGAGGGGGAGTGTTAGTGTCGACTGTATAGGGGTAATTTAGTCTTTCTATTTATTTTTAAAGCTGATGTGTAATGTTTATGTTAATTGATGTGTCCCATACTTAAGTAGGGACATGATAGTCTTTTGATTATTGAATAGAAACATATAAATATAACCTGGCCGACTAGAGAGGGTTATCAAGCTCTCTAGTTCGAACCAGATTTTTCCTTTTCTTCTCTTTTCTCTTCTTCTCTTCTTCTTCTCCTATTCTCTCTAGTATCCCTTCTGATATCTCTCTAATACTAATACTAACAGAATTTTAGTGCAGATCAGAACTTTATCACCCTTCAAACTAGTCCTTGGTTTTTCCACTTCAGATTAGAACCACTGATGTAGCCCATTGGGCATAACTTGCATCATTCCACTTAATAGTTGTCATCTGTGCTTGAAAGAAATCTTCTGACACTAGAGGAGAGAATTTCATCTCCATCTCGTGAAAAATAATAAATAAATAAAAAGAACAAAAAAGAGAAAAGAAAAAGACCAAAGCTGATCAAAAAGGAATTACACCAGGGTTGGTTCACAAAAGGATGCTACAGATAAAGTCTTCTACCTTGGTTCAACAAACTTCCAATAAAAAAACCTTAAAACAATATACTATCCACAAGAGTAGTTGTGGGTCAATCAAATAAATTGCTGCAAACAGGTCATAGATTGCTCAAATCAAGTTCACAAGGATGACAGTCCAGAAACAATTTCTTTATAGCCCCAATTAATTCATTCATGTGTACGGCACACATATGTTTCATTTCTCACAACCTCTTCTCTTCACTTTCAGTCACATTACTGCTCTTGGATTGCCCTAATAGATGGTCTCACATCATCAAATGATAATCATACACATAGACATAGTCATGGTTAGAACCATCACAAGCTTCCCTGAAAAGCAGTTGGCCCTGATCCAATTTCCAGATCTTCTTAGAGAACCAGAAAAGAAACAGAGAGAAGAGGGGGAAGCAGATTGAATAGAGAGAGGAGAAGAGAAAAAGCAACAACCAGGTTTGGTTAATGCTCTGAAACCATGTGGCCTGTTAGAACAGTGATTTGACAATGACAAGAAGAAAAAAATCACTAACCATAGGCTGAGAAGAAGAGCAAACCCTATTGCTCTGTTCAATTGAGATTAGACTTAATCTTGCCTAACAGGCAGACGGGTATATATATTATTCATCTTCAATTTAAATTATATCCTTGTTTACTATAAAATATGGACTGGAGTGTCCTTAATTAAAGAAGAGAAGACTAAAATATCTTGCTGCCTAATTGCTCTTAAAACACCATATAGACCAACCATAGACAGATAAGCAACTTGTGAAGAAGCACCATTTTTCCAGTTCTAGGACAACTTTATTTTAAATTACACCAAAAAGTCATTTTATGTGGGCTTCACTTCCCTCCCTACTTTGTATTGTTTGTTTAACAATCCGTGTTTGTTTGCTATTTTTTCTTGTTCTCATACTTTTTCTTAAATGAAAGATTTAATGTTTTTTTTTTTTTTGTTTACATCTCATTAGATTTTTGCACTTGATAGAGTATCATCACCTTGGGATATCCTTATTTGGTTCATATCATATGCTGAAGAACTGACAACATTCTCATGCATTTAATATTCCTTGCAGAGCAACCTTATGATAGCATCCCTAATTTTAGTGCAGCAGATGCATTGAGGCTCACAGGAATTGGAAGAAATGAATTTATTGATATCATGAACAAGTGCAGATCCAAGGTATGGGTCAATGGTGTAATAGTAATATGCTAAATCATGAGCAGTATCTATAAGCAGAATTGTGTATTTCATCTATGAGCAGTATCGTTTAAACTAGATGATAAAACAAGGGCTCCACATCAGTGTTTTATGAACATAACTAATCTGATATGTTTGTTTTGGATATCTTGGTTTTTATCCATTTTTTGATAATTTCTTTTGTTTTTCTCCTTGCTATGTTCCCACTTTAAACTGCATGTGTAAAGTGCCAAATAGTACTTTAAACCACTTGGAGCCATTGTGGAATGTTTTCATCTATTGTTATGCCCTAGTTTTCTCCTTGGAAAAAGGCATGTCAATGTGACAAGGGCAGCGCCTTTGAATTGGTTGATCAATGGGTATCTGTTTACCTGGATATCAAACATACCTTCCCCATATTGTCAAGGTGTCTAGCTGATAGTGTGCACGGTATGGCACTTAGTTGCCTAGGCAGGCACCTAGGTTTTGCCACAGTGATGAATTCTCAAAAGAAAAAAAAAATCAAAATTTTGGGTTAGTTCTCTAGGTTTTATGCCAATCACCATGCATATTAATTGAAAAAAAGATAAAATCTTCTCTTCATGAAGAATATTAATTGTTGTCAGGGGTATTTTTATGAATGTTTCAGGCACATAGGGATTCCTGTTATTTTCCTTTTCTTCCAGGGACCATTCTGTAATTATTTATTTATTTACTGATAAAATATAGTAGGGTGAAGTGGGATCCGCCACTAACCCATTCAATTTCTCTCTAAAATCTGTTTGTTGTCTTTTTCTTCTTTTCCTCTCTCTCTCTCTCATCTTCCATCCTTGATTATTCTATGATTGATTGCATGGTATGAGAGCATTAATCTGTCATAGAAAATCTAATTTCCTCCTTTTTCTTCCTTTCTTAATGAACAGTTCTATCATCAAGAGGATACATATTCAGACCACAACCTGCCTGGACTCAATGACCTCCTCTACTTCCTTGGCCTCCCTCTCTCATCATTGCAAAGGCTGATCTATCTGAGACTGTGGGACTCTTTGAAGACCCAATATTAATCCTATGAAGTTGTGCAAACACTTCCTCAAGAGAGGGAAGAGCATATCCTTTAAGAATTTGAGCCCTAACTGGTTCATACTCAGCCTTCAAACCTACTAAAATTCTGGTCACATCTAGTTGCTCCCTTTGTTGCTGCTAAATTTTAACATATGGTGTCAAGGGATGATAGATATTCAGCTCATTCCAAAGGTTCTTCATATTAGCATAGTCCTCAAGTATCTGATTTCCTTGTTGCAGATTAAAGTATTCTTGATAGAGCTGATATACTCTTGTATAGTATCTTGTTTGGAATAGAGTTTCTTGGCATAATCTCATATCTCCTTAGTTGTATCAAGAAACATGAAATTCACAATGATTTTGAGTTCCATACTATTCTTTATCCACGTCATAATTTGTGCATCTTCTTGTTCCCAATCACTATACCCTTGGGAATCAGTTGAGGGTTTTTCCTCCTTCACATGTTTCACTTTTTTCTTGGCTCTAAGAAAGACCTCCACTGACTTGGCCCATGGCACATAATTTTCACCATTCGTCTTGATGGAAGTCATTTGTACGTTCAGAAAATCAGGGGGAATCATAGCATTGGATTTTTGATCAGTGTTCTGTCCTAGGGTTGCCATGGTTAAAGAAAAAAACATCACTTCACAACACCACACTATACCGCAACCATTCAACTACGACCAAAACATGTGCTGTAATTAATTTCCAGCACTATTCTCACACATATCACCCACTTCTATCAACAAGAAACACAGACAAAAGCTCTGAAACATGTGCTGTAACAGGTTTCAGCACTGTTTCCACACCTATCACTCACTTCCATTAGCAAGAAATATCCAGAAAATCACTTCTTACACATACCTGTTAATAGAGGCCGACTACAAAAAACCTAAAACTCGATGTGCTGAAGGTGCTGGGAAGAAAAAAAAAACGGGGAAGAAAATCTGGGCTCTGATACCATGTTAGTTATTCGATCAGACCTGATTTATTTCTTGAAATAAAAGGAAAATAGAGAGAAAGAAGAAGAGAGAAAGAAGGAGAAGAAGAAGAGGAAAAGAGGGGAGAAGATGAAGAGATGGTTCGGCTGTTCTCAGAAGAGAGAAAAATCTATCTTCCCAGCCAACCATAACAATATATAGACTTCTAATTTAAAGTACAATGACCTTTGTGCCCCTCTTTATGTATGTGACACCCTATTCAGTCTCAAACATAACAAACAAATCAACCTAGAATAAAACACTATGAAATGACTCAAATACCCCTGATTGTTGACTCTAACAGTTTGGACTGTGTTTGAAGATTGGTTGAACGCTATTATGCCTAAGAATGGTTCTGGAAGTTGACTGGGGGGTATTTTGTTTATTAGAATGAGTTTTTCCAAGTGACCGGCTTTATGTCTCTTGTTTTCCCAGTGGAAACTGAAGTGTTATTTGCATGTTGACTAGGCTGTGTGTGCAGTAGTGGTTCTCAGTGACAGTGAGTACTTGGTACAAGTGGTTGCACCCCTCGAGTAAGTGTTTGTTTCCAGTTTTTTGTCCATCCTTGTTCGTTTTTCTTGCTGTTACCTTGGACTGTTATAGCTGTGTGACTGTGTGCCCAGAAAAGTCTGTTTTTGACCATTTTGGGAGTTTGGATTCTCCAATAGTTGTGTTTCAACAATGTCCTTAGAGAGTTCTGTCTCTTGGAATGGTCCAAGAGTGTTGGCTTTCCTGTATCTATTGTCCTTGATGGACTGAATTACTTGGAGTGGTCCAAGAGTGTGAAGATGTTTATTGGAGCCAGAGGGAAGTTAGGATACCTCATTGGGAAGACTAAAAGGCCTACAATTGAAGAGGCTGAGTATGAGAAGTGGGGACAAGATAACTACCTTATTATGTCTTGGCTTACATCTTGAATCCAGCCTGCTCTTAGAAAGAATTTATGTGGGCTAAAACATCCAAAGAAATTTGGGACCAAGCAAAGTCCACATATTTTGAACAAAGGTACTTTGCTTGGATCTACCAACTCCAAGTGGAGTGAGTTGCATTGAAACAAGAAGAGAAGTCTCTTGCAGCCACATATTCAGCTCTTACTTCAACGTGGAAGAATTGGATATAAGTGTTTAGATTGAAAAAATGAAGGGGATGCTTTTGCATGCAAAAAACTCTCTTAAGAAAGGGTGTTTGCATTTTTAGCTGGTCTAAACTCTGTTTACGAGCCTATTTGGGTTCAGATTTTGGGTGGTAAGGAGCTTCCAGTCCTTGAGGAAGTTTTTCCTTCGGTGCAGCGTGAGGAAACTAGGAGAGTTGCTATGAATCCTTGTGAGGGGAGTGGGTTGCTTTATTGTCTAAAAGTGACAACAAGAAGGGTGTGGTACAAATAGGGCTGTCAATTGGACCGGATTTGGTCCAATCCAATACTGGTCCATCTACTCTAGTCCAAATCCATACAAACCAAGTCCAATCTAGTCCAAATAAAATGCAAATGAATCGGATTTGGTCCAATCTAGTCCAAATTGAATCAAACAACAAAATAACATGAGCAACCTAGAAAATATATAAAAAAACTACAACACCTGCTCCAATCCAATACAGTCCAATTAAAATGCAAATGGATCGGATTGGTTCCAATCCGATCCAATCGGATTGGTTCCAATCCAATCCAATCCAAAGTGAATGAAGAAAAGTTTTTTTGTAAAAGTGCTTTCACATAAGTAATTTCATAAAAGTGCTTTCGTAAAAATGCTTTTGTAACTTTATGCTAGCTTTAGTTTTGATCGATTTCAAATTGGACGAGGTTTGGCCTTTTGATCAGATTATTGGGAATTTGGTTTAGGTCCGATTCAAACTGATAAGAATATGGACCAATGTAATTTGGAATGGCCTAATCCAATAATTATAACGGGTTGTCCAAATTTGATTTGATAAGGTTTGATCGCATTGGATCCAATCCAAAATTGGTTCATTGACACCCCTACTTGAGAGAATTTGTTTGGCAGTGAGGGAGGTGAGACCACAAGAAGTAGATAGCCATGCCATAATCACCACCAATGTTGAAGATGGAATGAACTATACCCAAGTCGTCAGTGACCTCGACCAACCATCCTGAAAACTAGAGGTGTAAATTGGGTCATGCCATGTAGGCCTGTGGGCCGAGCTGGGCCGTGCTTCCCACCCCTAGGATATTTCAGGGGGTGGGGGGTTAGCCCAGCACAGCCCACGGCCCGAGCCCACATGGGCTCGTGCTGTGTTGTGGGTTGGGCTAGTCCTCCGAAAATTTGGGGCCCGATCTGATTATCTCGGATTAGGATGATGTATTTATGTAACTGGATTAGATTTAGATTTGACTCCATCGATCCGATTATATTACAATATTTATTAGTTTTAATATTAAATATATAAATTTTATATAATAAATTTAGTATGTTATATTTATATTAATTTATTATATATAAAAGTTGAAAAATAAATAAATTTTTAATTTTTCTAGTATTTTAGAAAATTTATAGCAGAGTTGGATTAAACCCAAATCCAATCAGAGTCCATTAGGATTCGAATTCAAATCCGAATCTTTAAATCCAATCGGATTTTCGATCAGATTAGGATGGAGGTTCTCAGTAATCGGATTAGATGCGGATTTTGTTGCATCTAATCTGAGTTTGATTTGATTGCAACTTTATGCATGCAGGCTGCGGATGGTACGACACATGCAGTCATGTCATGCTGTGTTGGCCCATGGACTTGAAACCCTAGGCCCGGCATGACTTGTATGATTGTGCCGTGCTCAGCATGGCCTGCTTTCTATCGTGTTGGGCTGTGGCAGGCCATGGGTGGCACGACCCGATTTACACCTCCACCAAAAACATGTCAGCAGCAATGCAAAGTGGATGACCATTTTGTTAATGGGTGATGTTTGAGAGGAGGCATTTGAAAGAGGGTTTGAGAGAGAGAGACTAACTT